AAGCTCTCTGCAATAGTCTTGGAGAGAGATTCGCGGCTGGAAGCGGGGTTCTTGGATGGTGCTGGCTGGTGCGGACTGCGCGGGCAGGGCGCTCCACAGACGGTCGTGCATCAGGAGCTCATACTCCCCGTCGAAGGTTACCTCCTCGCCGATGATTGCGTTGTGATCGAAAATCGCGGCCACATGAAGATTCGAGATGTCGTATAGCGTTACTGCGCCCCGCGCGATTTTTCCGTGCCTTGGGCATTCGACAGAGGTTTTAGGTATATATTATATTTAATTAAAAAGTTAGGGTTAGGATATCACATTCGGCTGCGAGCCAATTACGCATTGGTTCGACGTCACGTCGGAATGCAGGAGCTACCACGTGCTTGAAGTCCGATGTTTCCTTCGTGGTAAGTACGGATGACGCACAACACCTTGCCCCCAGAAACAATCGGAATTCTTGCTTTAATTAGGAATTAATCGATTAATCAATATTGGACATGCTATTGCTAACACCTAGTTGCCTCGTGCCCTCGCGAACACTTTCTTTAATAGACGCGGTGATGAACTGTATGAAAGAGCAAACACGTGGTGATTCGAATTTAATATTAATATATTTAAACAATTAACTAAAAGTTTCACTCACGAAGCTTTATTCGCTAATGCGGATTGAAGCGGTGATGGAGCGTATGAAAGAACGAACACGTGGCAATTTGAATTTAATATTAATATATTTAAACAATTAACTAAAAGTTACACTCACGAAGCTTTACTCACTAATATGAGATAAAAAAAATCAAGATCGCTTATTTAGAACTAGAAATTGTAGCGGAATATGAACTAGAAATAGAACGGCTACGAACTAGAAACTGAATAAACAATACTGACTGAATAAACTTGAACTTGAATTACATACTAAAGATCGGAGCAAGACGCTTGCGATGTCAACTATTCGACGACGCGCACAAGAGTGTCGGTGTTTCGGCGGGCACTGCAGCGCTCGGCTGCGGCGGTGCTGTGGCGCAAGATGGCGGATGGCGTGGGTACGCCAACGCACGTGGCGCAAGATGGCGAGTGGCGTGGGTACGCCAACGCATGTGGCGCTGGCGTGGCGCGGGTTGTGTAGCTAAGCTAGATGTATATGTCTATGTCGTGCATTAGCCGGCCAATCAGAACGCGGCTGGCAGGAGATGATGCGCAGTAGCAATGATGTAGGCAATATTATTGTAATATTGATATCTTGTGCTCGATTAATTTAGTAATATTGATGTCATTAATATAATCTTATTATTAATATAGGTATTATTAATATAGGTATTATGTTTAGGTATGTTTAACGAACATTATATTTAAAGTATAATTATAAAACTTTTCATATATTATAACAAATATTGTTTATGGCTAGGAAAATAGTTAGCGTAATCGAATATGTGTTATTAAATGTTAATGCCTATAATTATCGAAGAAGGCCATTAAAATAATATTACATCTATGTAGCATAATAATGGTGGGGCGCGCCATGTTAGGCGGAACGGCAGGAGAGCCAATGGTCGTTCTCGGTCGTGGGCCCGGCAGTGAATTATATTAAGGCGATACTACATGCGCGGTAGGAAGAAAA